TGAAGTAATATATTACAGTTGACTATGAGGTAAATAAAATCATAAATAATAGTCAACGTTAAACTGGTACACAATTAAAAACATTTTATTTAGGCCTATCCATGGCCTCCTGAGGCAGGCGGTGGAACGTCGAAACATGTAGAGTCGTCAGCTTTTTGAAGGCCATAGATAGGCCTAAATAAAATGTTTTTAATTGTGTACCAGTTTAACGTTGAATATTATTTATGATTTTATTTACCTCATAGTCAACTGTAATATATTACTTCATGTCTGATTTTATATTATTTAAAGCTGTCTCTTAGCCTAATGTATACGTAGATTGGTTAATTAAAACAAACTGATTAGGAAGGAACTCATTTACTTTCAAGTTTATTTTTAAATGACATATATCGTTTAAAGCAAAACGGCATGTCAGGTGGTCAGTTGTCAGACTTTAGAAGGATTTTTGTCATCCAAAGGTTAACATTACGTGTGATAACATTTATTGCAGTTTACGACAAAGAAATTTACATTCGAATCGGTACAGCAATGAAACTAGTATATCTTTCATTGTACATCAAAATACGCTGTTTCAGGTTATTCATACCTTTAGAGATCCAGCAGAAAGAGAAAACTAAGCAAGAAATCAACTGGAAACGTTGGACGATGGTCATGGTAGGTTTGGTGTGGAAGAAGTTGAGTCCAGCAAGACACTGTGTTTCGCCTGAGTTCGATGTCTACTTATACAGTCTGACTGATCGACAGCTTAGACCTTAAAAGTTCCCGAGACAATTACCGAAGATCGTTCACAGTAGCAAACAATGTAGCTCTATCTCTGAACAGTAAACCCCAGAGGCTACTTAGAAACGAAGAAATCTGAGTATTTATATGTCTTCTTGGTTTCTTTATGTGTCCAATATAAGAACAAATGAAAATTAATTTATATACTATGTTCTTCTGTTATTTGGTGTGTGTGCGTCATCTTTCCTTTTGAAACATTCTGGAAAGCTCTCCCCTCAGCGGGGTATCTCTGATGCATTGCACAGTAAATTACCCACAAAATCGGGAAAGCCAAGTCACAGGGGGAGAGGGATTTGGTCTAGATACCTTAAATAATGTTTTATTATTCCTGCCAACACCTAAGATGTTAAAGCAGTATGAACCCTTGCTGAGAAGTTTGATTAAATTGTCTGCCTGGTTGCTGTAAGTAATCACCTGCTCAACTACGTGTAGCTCTTAGTTGTGGGGAAACATCTAGTATTACACTTCGTAAGGGGATAAGACACTCTTGAACTTACACCACGTGTGTCAAATATATCTTGGTAGTTCTGAAGCTTAACATTTTTCTTTCTTCAAACTTTTTGTCTGTTTTGATATCAAATTTCAACGTAGGTAATCAATACATAGCTTAAAATAAGCCCCTCTTTTATATAAAAAAAATTAAGGATAGTTTCTGTTTTATATTTAGTTTGGCAGATGAGCTTTGAAATGTTTTGGTTTAACTAAAGCTCGTAAAACGAGATGGATTTTAGAAACAAAAAAACAATTGACACTTCATGATAAAGAGATAAAGTAATGGAAAGGAAATAAAGCATGTGTGCTTCTAACTGGTCAGAATAAATATACATGTTACCAACTAAGTTTAACATCTTTGGGTTAGATAAACAGTTTTTATGAAGAAGTGATAGAAAGACATTACATTTTACACCAGCTTGTTGTGCAAGACAAGTGTAACTCTTGCGAGTTCAAACAATGCTTAAAAATAGAAGAAGGAAGGGATCGCTAACTGAATTTCATGGCTCGAGACCTGTTATCGCAAAAACGCTTTCCACAGTTGGACTGTGGGTACTTATAAGAAGTGAAGGAAAAATCCCACTATTGAGTCGGACAAGAGTAGCCCAAGAGTTTGCAGTGGATGCTGCTGACAGCTGCTCTCCTTCTAGTCTAACAGTTCAAAATTAGGAACAAATATGCAGGGATAACTCTTGTGTAGCTTTGTGCAAAAATTCTAAAGACAAACAAAACGTAAAATGAAACGATCCTCAACCTCCAAAACTCCAAGCAGATACAATACATAAAATATTCGAAATGATTAATAATTATATCAGGTATAAACTAATAACGGTGGAATAAAAAACAACAACGCACACACACACACACACATATATACACACAAAATGTTCATTTTTATTTTATTTCCACCCTCAAGACACATGTTCGTAAGAAAGTAACATTACTTAGTCTTGTTGAACTGGCGTACATACACTGAACTTTCTCAACAGACTGTGTAAGAAAGTAATAACAATCAGATCTAGAGACAAATAGGGAAGAGTTTTTAAGTACCGTTTACAATGTTCTAATACGTTGTGATAAGCACGTCTACAGTGTTAGTTCTGGTTCCGGTAAGAAAGACGATTAACACATACATACAAGTGTGTCTGGACTAGTGGTTATCGTCCCGTTCCTTTGAATCCGAGGATCTATGGTTCACGGTTCATAGCTGCGAAATCACGGTCTTCACTTTGGGGCCGTCGGTGCGTTATAAGAGTAAAGGTGGGTGCTGTTGACTAGCTTCCTTCTGTCTAGTCTATAATTTGAAAATTAGGGACTGTCTGTTTTCTTGTCTGCCGTACTGCACGGCAGTGGTATCTCTTTTATATATCAAATTTAATTGTATCGAACTGATAAATAAGCTCTCCGTATGTCCTAAAATGATATTCAAACACTGATTTTGTATTTTATCTCTGAAACTGAACAGTTTTACATACCCATTATAATAATATTCAGCTGTACATTACTTTATTACTTGAATTTGTTTACATTTTCTTAACTCAGAGATAATGTATCTTCAATCAAGTGTATTCAGATAAATCTGTATAATTTGTCATCTTTGTGTTTCGTAGTTAGATACCACGCTTGTGAATAAGATATAGATAGCTTGTAGTAATTCTCATGTCGGTTATATACCACAGTGGACATTCCCTGGATATTATTCACTTGTTTGGACATACTTCTATGTTATCGCTCTCATGGTGTGTGGATAATACCAAGGTAGGAAGGTGGTACAGAGATTTTCAAAAACTGGTATGAGCTAGGAGTAAGAATAAGATATAGATAGCTGTTAACTTGTAGTAATTATCATGTCGGTTATATACCATAGTGGACATTCCCTGGATATTATTCACTTGTTTGGACATACTTCTGTGTTATCGCTCTCATGGTGTGTGGATAATACCAAGGTAGGAAGGTGGTACAGAGATTTTCAAAAACTGGTATGAGCTAGGAGTAAATATTCACTTGCATGTATGTAATTCAAAAGATTGTTTAAATACGCCCTCTAGAATTGTGAGATACTGCATCAAGCTTTTGTCTGACTTTATAGTGTAATATGGACACAATACGACAGTGAAATGCACAATTCCTAATCACTCTCTACTCCAGCATCAGGTTAGTCTAGGTAACATAGAAGTCGACCATTATTGTTAAGCCTCAGTATTTTAATCTTTTACAATAAATATTTTGTTTCTTGTATTACACAATTGTCTCAGGATTTCTTACGTTAATAAAGCTCATTTTATAATTGTTTTTGCAGAGCTTACCTGGGAATAACATATTGCATTAAACGTTTCCAGCTAAAGTGTAAATTGTTTATGTTTTGGTTTGAATTTCTTACAAAGCTACAGGAGGGACAGTTGCGCCAGCCGTTCCTAATTTAGACTAGAGGTAAGGCAGCTAACCAGCACCATCAGCTCTTGAGCTACTCTTTTACCAACGAATAGTTGGACTGACCATCACAGCTGAAAGGGTGAGCATGTTTGACGACAGGGATTCGAACCCACGACTCCCAGATTGCGAGTCGAACGTCCTAACTAACAGGCCATGCTAGGCCTAAAACGTTTATGCAAAATTCAATATTCAGTCAAAGTTTATATTACAAAGCTATTTATATTTTGGCAAAATGACAGGTATGCACGAAAACATAATTTTTTTTCCATGCTGCTTGTAAAGTGTTACCTACAATGCTCATTACTACGGAATCTGTTCAGATTGGTACTTTATAAGTTACAATTCTTGGTGGAAATACTAGTGATGATCATACGTTGTCAATAGTAACAATAGTAACAAGCCGCAACGAACTACGTGGAGTTAAACTGAAAACATTGAGCTTTATTTTATCAAAATATTCAGTTATGCATAAAAGTAATATAGAAAAAGTTAAAGTATTTGAGTAGTTCTTGTGTAAGTTTTTTTAAAAAACATCAAGCAAACTTTCTTTTGATTTAAAAACATCGCACTCGAGAAACATTAAAACTTTCTAACCACACTCTGATGTTTCCTAACACTAACTCCTTAGCATTCCCATTTCGAGTTTTCATTTAGAAAAAGTACTAATAGCCCCTCCCCCCTTAGTGGCACAGCGGTATGCCTGCGGAGTTACAACGCTAGAAACCGGGTTTCGATACCCGTGGTGGGGAGAGCACGGATAACCCATTGTGTAGCTTTGTGCTTAAAATAAAATAATAAAGTACTAACAACTGTTCCCTGTTGCACATCATGTCTACGAGCCCTTAAGTTCACTATCAGTAGTGGAATGCTTCTGTATAATCTGATTTTATATTTACTGATGCTACTTGTGTTTAGAACCGTCATTTGAAAGTCCTGGTTGCAAAGTTTTTGAGTGACTGTAAAAATCAATGGGCTAAAATACCATTTAAAGTCAACTGACAGTGGCTTACAGCATAAACTGAAGGCTGAAAAGAGTTTTGCACCTTAAAAGTGATGTAAACAATCAATATGATGGTGTAAAAATTTCACCATGTACTCTGACCATAAGGATATCTACAGTTTATCCCACAATCTCTCGTAAAGATTCGACTCAATACAGCATGTATAATGGTTACGCTGTAGTTATATTAACAGTTTGAATGAGTACTCAAAAATCATATTTTAGCCAACATTTACTTAGCCACTCTCTCTCATCTAACAAAATCACAGAAAACATTCTTGAACCTTAGAACTATATCATTGAAACTATAGATTAACCCCATTTTTTATTTCAATCTAACACAGATTTGTTGCGCGAGTAATACTGACATATATCATTCAAAGTCTTTGTTAGCATTGGTCTCAACAGAACGACGAACGTGGTAGATTAGTATAGTATACGGGCATACCATGTCCTCTACTACCTGTAGCGATATATTATTTTAATTATTGATCATTTAGTTTCCGCACTGTCATGGCAGAAACACGTGGTCTAAGGTGTCTAATATTAATCTTGTTCTAGCCACCTCAGCTATTTGTTCTTTTATTGTATGACATCTTCTACAGCACTGTCATGGCGGCAACACGTGGTCCAAGATGTCTAATATTATCTTGTTCTAGCCACCTCAGCTCTTTGTTCGTGTACTGTATGACATCTTCTACAGCACTGTCATGGCGGGAACACATGGTCCAAGATGTCTAATATTAATCTTGTTCTAGCCACCTCAGCTATTTGTTCTTTTATTGTATGACATCTTCCACAGCACTGTCATGACGGGAACATGTGGTACAAGGTGTCTAATATTATCTTATTCTAGCCACCTCACCTCATTGTTCTTTTATTGTATGACATCTTCTACAGCACTGTCATGACGGGAACACGTGGTCCAAGGTGTCTAATATTATCTTATTCTAGCCACCTCAGCTATTTGTTCTTTTATTGTATGACATCTTCTACAGCACTGTCATGACGGGAACACGTGGTACAAGGTGTCTAATATTATCTTGTTCTAGCCACCTCAGCTATTTGTTCTTTTATTGTATGACATCTTCTACAGCACTGTCATGACGGGAACACGTGGTATAAGGTGTTTAATATTATC